TGATTTATCAGTCTTACATTACACTTTGTGAGAATAGATTCAGAACCGTGACAGGAGTCCGAACTGTAGTAGCTAGAACTACAATTCGCGCCCTCGTGCGCGGAGCGGAGTTCAGGTGGTCTACAGACGGTTTTTTTTAATTTTTGTTAATATAAATTGAAAACTGAAAACGAAATGGTTATCAAACAGGCCTCAGATGGTAAAAATATCGTAAAATTAACAAATAATTAAATAAGTTACCAACATAAGAAATGACTTGTCAAAAGATTCTTAGGCTATGTATGGTTTAATTTTTAGATTTTTTTTTTAAAAATTAAAAATTAATTTGGTTAAGAAATAAAAAATAAAAAATAATTATCATTTAAGGGTAAAAAAATAATTATCATTTTAACTTTTGGGCAGGTTATATACATACCTATGGTTGTTTCAATTTAATTTGTAAAAAATTATTTCTAACCACGAAAGATAAAAATTTTATAAAAATGATACTCCCTCTGTCTCAAAATAATGGTCCCTTTTGGGTAATTCAACTTTTTTTTTGCAGTACAATTATTGCACTTTAAAAAACTTGATTTTCCAAACTTACCCTTTGATAGTACATTTTTTGGGGAATATCAATATCATAATTGTACTTTTTATGCTACTAATAAATTTAAAAGAAGAGCAAAATGAGAAATTTATATTATTTTTGTACTTGATTTTTGAAAAGGGATTAATATTTTGGGATAATGAAAAATGGTATAAGGGAGTAATATTTTGGGACGGAGGGAGTAATTATGTTTTTTTTTTTATTTCTTAACCAAATTAATTTTTAATTTTTTAAAAAAAATTCTAAAAATTAAACCATACATAGCCTAAGAATTTTTTAATATAAGTCATTTCATAAGTTGGTAACTTATTTAATTATTTGTTAATTTTACGATATTTTTACCATCTGAAGCCTATTTGGTAACAATTTCGTTTTCAATTTTCAATTTATATTTATAAAAATTGTAAAAACTGTCATAAAAACTTGTTTGATAATTTTTTTAATTTGTAAATGGTTGTCTCAGTTTGTAAATTTGAAGAAAAAATGTAAATTCAAAAAATGAGTTTATGTTGATTTTTAAATAGAAATTTAAAAATTTTACTAACAAAATTTTTTTCAATTATTTTTTTTTCAAATATTTTTTTTTCCAATTAATTTTTTTTTCAATGATTTTTTTTTTCCAACTAATACTAATCGAGGGGGCAATTGGTAATGCTACTTTAAACCTTAGAGAGAGGATTGTAATTTCTAAAATGTGAGAGATGTCAACGTAATTTACTCAGTGAAGGCAAAATTGGTATTAAAAAAAAATTAAATTGCTGAGGGGAGAATCTGTAGTGAAACTTTAAACCTTAAGGAGGGAGATGTAATTTCCAAAATGTGAGGGGGGAACTGTCATAAACATAAACCTTAAGGGGTGTCAATGTAATTTACCGTTGATTTAATGTAATTCAAGTTTGATATTAATTGGAGATAGATATTTGGTTATATTGGGAACTCAACAATAAGAGAGAGAGAGAGAGAGAGAGAGAGAGAGAAGAAAAAAAAAAGGGGTTTGAGCAAATCTCCATAGATCATCCATTCAAGGTAGGATCTCTCTCTTACTTCCTTAGACTTGAGTGTTCTACACTTTCATCCTCTTGAATTTAAGTTTGATTAGGAAGAAATCATGCATAATTGGGGGTTTGGTGGTGTAACTTAATGTGGTAACTCATAAGATCATAAAAGGGCGAAATTGTAGGGAATAGCTCAAGTTTGTGACATATATGCAATGATGGATCTAGGGGGGGCGGCCGCACCCCAAAAAATTTGAAAAATATCATATATTATACTAGAAATTTTAAAATAATCTAAAATTATAGGAGTTCGCACTCTCAAATTGTTTTTAGATAATTTCAAAATTATATAGAGTAGCCTCACCAATTTTTTAAACTCTATAGTAGCCCCCCCAAAATCATAATCTTGGATCCGTCCTTGCATACATGGCATTATTTTTGAGTATATACTTGTTTTCTTCCGCGGTTTTTAAGTTTGAAAGGATGAATTTTGAGCTTGGAACTCAAACGTCCATGTTTTGTGATTTTATTTTTCACTTCAAGCATTTGACCCTTAATTTGGCAACTTGAGTCTTGATTTAGAATTATGATTTACATTTGAAGTTAGCTATGTTAAATTCATGATGTTTTTAAGGATTTTGAGCCTTGATTTGCATGAAATTGAAGTTAGATTTTGAAAAACTTGAGTTCCAAATTCAGAACAAACTTTTCGGACTAAAATGAACCCAACCCGCCACACGGCCGCACATGCAGCCAAGTCTCCATTGTTCCAATATTGCTTCTGTTTTAATTACACGTGCAGGGAACACGTGCGGTAAGGCCCTCCGCACGTTTGGTTTTTAGGACGGTCTTGGATTTGTTTTCTGTTCGTTATATACATATATCATTTTGTGTAAACCTATCTTTTATTTTCTTGTCAACTTGTATGGTCCTTGTGTTTAATACCTTGTTAAGATCTGTCAAAAAGGTAATTTTACTATCTAAGGAGATTTGACTTAGAAGATAGGCTATTTGGGCTCCTCTAACCTTTCCCGGGATCTTACTTGATTATTGACCAAATGACTTATTAGTGGCGTTCTCTAAATTTCAACTCTTAGAATAGAATTTTGGGGCATGACAACTTCCCTTGAATCTATCATTCTCGCATTCTATTTCATATTGAAGTCAACAATTGAAAATAAATAAAACATTTCGAAACTGTTTCTAATAGATAAGGTACTTTTTTTGTTTATCTTCTTCGTTTTTGGGTATTAAATTTACGAACTTTGTTCAAAAATTTAGTACCAAACAAATTATATTTATTTGGAAATTTGTTTCCAAACAAATTTTACTTCTTTGACAAAGTGTTTCCAAATTATTCAATGTTGCTTGATATTTCATATCTGAACAAAATATATATGTTCGACTTTGTATTTTCATACATTTCAATTTTTTAATGACAGTGGTATGCGATGATACTGTTGTTTTTGTTTGTTTGGAACCTCTGATTTGAGAGTTTGAACAATAATGAGGGTGTTGTCATGGGTAAACTGGGTGCAATTTGTCGTGTGTATGGGGTGTCCTAAGAAAGTATCTAGGGTTTTTATGGTCAAATGAATATTATTTGAATTGTTTAAAATAAATAAATAAAATTTTAAATTTAAGAATGTATTGTACAAAGTATTAGAATATCAAATTAAAGTTTTGGAATAAATTTATACATGAATTTTTTGTATATAATTAATTCTAGATAAATATTTTTTTAGCGTAATGTTATAGTATTATTGTTACATATTTTTATAATATATGTTACGTATTTTTGTGACAAATATTAATATGTATTTTTCTTGATAAAGTTAAAATAATTTATGATTAAAAAATAAAATTATATATTTTATAATAATGTTATTTATTTTTGTATAATGTTACATATATTTTTGATAATAACTTTTAATAAATTATAAATTATCATAATTCTACTAAATAAAACAAGACGACAACTGTTATATAGGTAACAGGCATCATAAAAACACATAATAAAGGAGTGTTTGGGGAGTGGGTTTAGGAGTGAAAATAAGGCTAAGGTCAAGTTTGGCAATTCTAAAATAATCTATCTTTTTATCTTTTTTTTCATCACATCATCTCTCTACTTTTCTGCACATCTTTTCATAAAAAGACAAGAAGTGCACTTATTTAGGTCATCACAAACAACCCTTAAGTTTGGCATCCCATAAAAAATCTAATGCATAGTTTGGGAAGTTGGTTTTGGTGGGTCAGGAGCTAAAATAGCCACAAAAAATAAAATAGTCTATTTTAGCCACAAAAAACAAAACAGCAAATCCAACCCATAATCATTACACTCCTCTCTCACAAAAAATGTCAAAAAAGTCAAAAAGTCAAAAAACCCTTTCCAAACTAGGCTTTTTAGCCCCAGGCTAAAATAGCCAAAAAAACTAAAAAGCTAAAAAGCCAACCCACTTCCCAAACGGAGGCTAAAAGGTCAAAAAGTTACTATCCTATTTAAGTCACGTCATCTTATTTAAATTACATCACCTCTCTACCACATCACTTCAAATTCAACCCATATTTCATAAAAAGTCAAAAAATACACTTATTTAGAATATCTTAAACAACCCTTTTCAAAACTACAAAAGCAAAAAAGTCAACCCGCCAATCTGAGGTTTAAAGTGACATTGCAAACTAATGGGAGGATAGGGCGCAAAATGACATTAATGCCTCTATTTATGTAGGCCTTGTTTAGAAATTACAACTATTTTGTAGGGATATTTTCGTCATTTGGCATCTCAAATCATTACAAATACATTACCCAATACAAAAATTCAACAAAAAGACAATTCATCTCTCTAGACAACAAAAATTAAAATAACTTATTAAAACAATCAAAATTCAAAAAAGTCAAAAAGTAATCATTTCTCAAACACCTTTAAAATTTATTTTAGAAAATAAATTAAAAGTTATCTTTTTAATTTTTTTTTAAAAAAACATACATAATTAAAAAAAATTTAAAATTTAAAAATTAACTTTTAACTTTGTTAAAATCTGACTAAGGTCTAAAAAGATAAAAAGTACACTTATTTAGATCATCCCAAACAATTCCTTAGTTTAAAAGTAAAAAAAATTATTTAAAAAATCAAAAAATCAACAATTTGTACAAAAAAATCAAAAATTTTATTTTACTCTATTTTTTACACATCTTTTTATAAAAAATTAAAAAATCATGATAAATATATTAAATTTTTTTACATTATATTTCAATAAAAAAATCAAAACTTAACTAAAAACACATTCCCAACGAGGCCTGAGTGTATCCCATAGAAGTTGGTATTGTTTCGTTTAACAGGGACAGAGAGATATCACATTAACTTTTAACCTTGTTAAAACACGACAGAAGTTGGTATTGTTTCGTTTAACAGGGACAGAGATATCACCTCCATTACATTACCAATTCCATTACCGCCGATCTTTGAAAGAAAGAGAAGAAAAAGGCACTCTCACTGATGAAGAACCCAAGATCCGATCAGAGATCTACCTTACAATCTCTCTCCTTCTTGTCGCTCTAAACTCCGCAGATTCTTTGATCGATTATTAGCTGCAGAGCAAGAAGATCCATTTCATCTCTTGTTTGTCTACGAGGTCAAATGTTTTTGTTCATTGATTCCAATTTGTTGGATCAATGTACCATTTCTAGGGTTTTCTTGACTTCGCAATTTGTTCGCTGATTTTGAGGGAAATTTAAAGTTAGGGTTTTTGTATTTTGTCAAGAAATTTGTGCGATCTGGGGCTAGGGTTTATAAAGGCTCGTCTTTGGGCCTGTAATCGTTGTTTGTTGTGCGATTGTATGAAGATTTGGTGTTGTTTCTGTTTTGACGAAGAAGAAGACGATAAGAAACGGACAATGAGGGGGGGAATTTCCGGAAAAGAAAGCGAGGATAAAGCCAAGGATATGGAAAATTATGATTCTGAAGGTTTTTTGTTAGGGTTTTCGCTCGGGAGCCTCGATGAGTTGCAGTCGCAGGTGCTCGATGCGAGGCCGGAGCTTGGAGAGAGAGAAGACGGGGTTGGGGCTAGTGCCTGTGCTGGGTTTTCTTCCACAGTTGGGAGTTCGCAGGGTTTTGACCGGTTTGCTTCAAGTAGTGGTCAGGGTGTGATGGAGGTTGATTTGAGATTAGGTTTGGGTGAAGAGTTGTTGCCCTCTTCAGCTGCATTAGACAGAGAGGAATGTGATCGTGATTCTCACAATAAAAGGCCTAAAGTGCATTCCTTTTCCCTGTGAGATCTCCTTCTCTCTCTTTCTCTCTCTCCCCTTACTTTCTTATTTGGAGCTGGACTCTGATTAACATAGATTTGAATAATTAACTTGTTGTGTACTAAATCATACTAATTCTCTATCCTTTAGTATGGTTATTTATATACGTTTTTCTTATTAGACCAAAGTATAATCATATAATGATATAGGCATTCCAAGACTTCTCATTGATTGTTTAATTTTTTTTAAAAAAAATAGCTCACCTCAAGACTCCATCCTCTTCATGCCCCTCAAGACTCCATCCTCTTCATGCCCCTCAAGACTCCATTTTGTGGGGTCCCACGAGACTCAATCTGAACTGTTCATATTGTAGTTCTTGAAGAGAAGAACATATATGAAAAAAAAAATCAGTTTGTTTGGACATCGATAGACAAATTAACTATCCGTGTTTTGTTTTATGAAAAGCTATAATTGTACACTTTATAAAACGAAATAAAATAAGTTATGTTTTGTGTATATCTTCTTATCTTTGAGGCCTACGAGATGAATGGTTTGGATCATTGATGTGGACCCGATGGAACCCACAAAATAGAGTCTTGAGGGGTATGGAGAGGGTAGAGTCTTGAAGGGAGCTAGTCCCATTTTCTCAAATACTTAACATGTTGCTGGTTGGCAGCAATATCAAACCTTCCAGTAAATTGCCTTTTTTCTATGATATTTATGTATTGTAATACTAAGGATGGGTAGCTCTTTTGGTATGCCATTTAGATAAATAGTTCAAATCATCCTGGAAATACAGTGCTAATCGAAAAATGTTGTTTTGCTGTGCTCTAGTGTCCATATAATAGTGTCTAGCTTAATATGTTCTGGTTTTTTGTAGGCCCTTGCCCCATACCTTGAATCACTTAGGGGTTGTTTGGGATGTCTTAAATAAGTGCACTTTTTGACTTTTTATGAAATATGGGTTGGGTGTGGGTTGGGTTTGAAGTGATGTGATAGAGAGGTGATGTGACTTAAATAGAATAGTGACTTTTTGACTTTTTAGATTTTTTTGAAGATGCCAAACTTGGCCTTAGTTGAATTATCTACCCAGTAGAAACATGGAAACATAATTTACTGAGGAATTTGAAACATCTAATAGCACAATGAAGCGAAATTGGTACTTTAATGCATTCTTTTGAAATTGTAACTGGATCATGTTTTGATCATCCTGCTCCATATAGAAGTATGCCACAAGGTTAAAAGACGTAAAATTGAGGTTGATCAAATCCATTGTTTGAAATTGGGTGGGTCTAAAGTTCTGTTTCACTTGAATAATCTAATCTAATCTAACCATCAGCATTAATGAGGGATGGAATTCTAGAAAGGTCCATCCAAACATAAGGGGTCTTCGTTAGGGGTTGTTTGGGATGTCCTAAATAAGTGCACTTTTTGACTTTTTATGAAATATGGGTTGGGTATGGGTTGGGTTTGAAGTGATGTGATAGAGAGGTGATGTGACTTAAACAAGATGATGTGACTTAAATAGAATAGTGACTTTTTGACTTTTTAGATTTTTTTGAAGATGCCAAACTTGTCCTTAGTTGAATTATCTACCTAGTAGAAACATGGAAACATAATTTACTGAGGAATTTGAAGCATCTAATAGCACAATGAAGCGAAATTGGTACTTTAATGCATTCTTTTGAAATTGTAACTGGATCATGTTTTGATCATCCTGCTCCATATAGAAGTATGCCACAAGGTTAAAAGACGTAAAATTGAGGTTGATCAAATCCATTGTTTGAAATTGGGTGGGTCTAAAGTTCTATTTCACTTGAATAATCTAATCTAACCATAAGCATTAATGAGGGATGGAATTCTAGAAAGGTCCATCCAAACATAAGGGGTCTTCGATTCACATTTCTTGTTTTTGGTGTTGAGCATAACTGCTCTGCGTAGCGGTGGATCCATAAATTTCTTTATTTTATTATTATTCATCCTGTTTATCTAAAAACTGGTTTGGTGAAAAAAAAATGAAAAAATAAAAACCCTTATAATTTTCATATATTTTTATCTTTTTTGGGTCGAAAATGAAAATATCTTTTTGGTGTTTATTTTCGTCAAATCAATTTTTATTTTTTCAAAATTTTTGAAAAAACAAAATCTGAAAATGAAACACAACAAAGTGATTATTGTTATTATTATTATTAATTTTTTTTTTTTTTTAAAGGGGAGGAGGGGGGTTCGTAAAGGGTTTATCTTGTCTTTGCACACAATAGACCATACGTTAAAATCTAGATAAGATGAGTATTGCTGAGATGAGAATGCTAAGGTGGTTTTGTGGCAAGACTAGAAAAGACCGAGTTAAGAATGAGTATATTCGAGAGTAGGTAGGAATAGTACCGATAGAAGATAAGCTGAGAGAGAATAAATTGAGATGGTTTGGTCATATACAACAGAGATCAACAGAGGCAATAATGAAGAGATGTGATACAGTGACGGTAGATGGTAGTATTTAGGGAAGAGGTAGACCTAGATTAACGTGGATTAGTGTAGTAAACGGAGTTATGTATCTCTTTAATGTAACTGATGAAATGGCCTTCGATAGAATTGAGTGGAGAAGAAGGATTCATGCAGCTGACTCTATTTGATGAGACTTAAGGTTTGGTTTGATTTATTCATTTATTTGAATTTTATACCCAAAAATAATGTATAATATTGTGAGCCCTCTTGGTTAAATAAAAACTAAAGGATTGATTGAGGTTAAAATAATATATAATATGCTGGATAAAATTTCTTAGTCAAAATGGTGGAAACCTTTCAACACAACAATCATAAGTTTAAGAGATTTCTTGAGGTTCAAAGCTTAGTTTCAAGACTTCTTTGGATTGGTTAATATATATATATATATATTTTGGATAAGAAATCTTAGATTTAAGTATATGATAGACATCAATAACAAATCAAAAGGAATAACTAATGAATAAAATAAATTTTATTAACCCTTGATTTTAATCAAACAAAAAGTTAGATAGTCAAAACAACTCTAGAAATAAAGAAAATCTACTCTACGTCTACTAGGAACCAACTTTGCGGCAGATACAAGTCTTGTTTGGATGATGATTATTGTCCTCTATCAACAGTTGTTAGGCTCTATCAATAGTTACGCTATAGTTACTAGTCTACCTATCTTTTGGTCCATTGATTTTTTGAATTTGAAGTCGATACATTGGTCATATCCTTGGCAATTACGCCATTGTCCGATTTCCTATTTAGATTCTATACTTTTATCATGCATATGCTTATGTTGCATAGACTTGGGTATGTGTGTCAGGTGCCCTATTTGTCTATCGAATTTATCTAATTTCCATGTTTAAGAACACCATGACAGGAGTCGAGTTGATATTTCTTACATAATTATTTTTTGGTAAGATGATGTTTACAAAGTAACATACTGCCTTTTATCTTAAAATGAGAGTGTTGCTTTTTCTCTTAAAATGAGAGAGTTATGCGTCATGCCCCCAATATCTTAGTTGCACGAAGCGGATGCGGGGGTTGGAGTGGAAGCGGGAGCGGGTGTAGAGGAGTGAGTGCATATGGAAGTTTCTTAGGTTGGGAGTGCCTATAGCATCGTGTATATATTTATTTATTAAATATATGAAGATATTCTAAAAATTATTTTTTGCTGCTTAGTTGTAATATATGTAATAAAATATGAATAAATATTAGAGATTCATGTCAATTACAAATCGTCTTTGTTAAGTATAAATAAATAGGGGAAATTACAACGAAAAAATAAAATAAAATTCCAAAGTTTGACCCTCATAACAAAATAAGCCTTGAACTTTTAATTTTATCAATTTAAACCCTAAACTTTTGATTTGTTTTCAATCTAAACAATTTGCTTATATTCCTTAAGTAAAATCGATTGAAAAATGGTATTTTAATCATTAAACTCAATGAAAAAGAGTATTTTAGACATTTTATATATACCTACATTGAGTTTAATGACTAAAATACTATTTTTCCCATCGGTGGATGGTTTAAACTGAAAACAAATCAAAATATTAGGGTTTAAATTGACAAAATTGAAAATTCAGGGTTTATTTTGTTACATGGTTCAAACTTTAGGTTTTTTTTTTTGGTTGTAATTGTCCCAAATAAATATTATGTACATATAAACTACTAGAATAAGTTTTAGTTGTTTTTCTTTTGTTTCTATGAGATGTTTTTTTGTTTGAGAGGTTTCTATCTTAGTTGGAAGTTAGTTTCTCTCTTGACAAGATCAAGTCTAAGTTACACGGACTCGTGTACGAGAGTCGGGTGTGGGTGCGTATCTAAGGGTCGGACACTTCAAAATTAAAAATTAGGGATACGTGGATATGGATCCAAATTTAGATATGAGTACGGGGATACATTAAATAGTTATTTTTTTAAATATATTTCTTATATGAAGATGAGTTAAAAAGTTAAGAAATAACAAATTTTGTTAAAAAAATAACAAATAAAATATAAATAATTAATAAAAATGATTTTAGACATAAAATAAATTATATTATATATGATAAAACAAATTATTTTTATTTTAAACATAAAAACCATTTGGCATGGACTTGTTACACTTTTATCCTTTGAGAGGCTCGCTGGGTCGAAAACCCGGAAGGGCGACCCAGGCAAAAGTTAGAGCAAGAGAAAAATACAAAAAAAAAGGAAAAGAAGAAAAAAAGAAAAAAAAAAAGAAAAAAAAAAAAAAACGGAATGCCCAAAACGACGTCGTTTTGGGCATTCGGGGCATTCGAGCCAGGCATTTCGGGCCCTCAAACATTTTCCTTCTTTCTCTTCTTCCTTCCCTTTGGGTTTGTTGACTCACAGCCGTCTCTCTCTCTCTCTCCTTCTTTCTCTTCTTCCTTCCCTCTCTTTTTCCTTGTGGGTTTGTTGAAAAAGCCACACAGCCCCCCCTCTCTCTCTCTCTCTCTCTCTCTCTCTCTCTCTCTCTCAACAACCCTTCTTCTTTCTCCTCTCATGTTAGCCATGTCCGAGAAAACCATGCCTAATCCGACACATATCTCACACTTGCACCCGTGTCGTGTCGTGTTGACACGGGTACTCTGCCCTAAACCGCTGAGTCCATGTAACACAGGATCAAGTTTCTTACTTGGGAGTACGGAATCACGTTTCTTAAAAAACGCCACTTGAGTAGAGGATTCCTGCTACTAAACCCAACATGCCATTTTAGCCCGCTCAAAATGTGGTGCAAATAATACCCCTTTGTCCATCTAGATCTGAATGATCATAGATAGGCGCCAAAAAGGGCACAACATTGTACACATGGTACATACAAAATGGCTAACCAAATGTTTCGAGGATACTCAGTTAATTTGAGAATCCTTTTGGTGTTCCATAATGAAATATACCAAATGTTGAGAATAATAACATCAAAGTTGAATTTTTGGAAAAAACGATGACTTTGGTTTACTTGAGACATTGACATGTTTTAGTTTTGTAGAAACAAAGTCCGTCCTTAGGATTATTTTGTTTCAAATAGAAATAAAGAATGAGGGAACTAGAAAGATTGTGAATCACCTTCTTCTAGAGGGATCATATTGAAAGTGAGCCGTTTTGAATGTGTTAAGTGACAAAAAGCTGACATAGATGTTATGGGTACGCATATATGTTGGGTAATTTCGTTCATATCTTAGACCTAGGAATCAAGGTTTTAAATAATGGTGGCGGTTACAGTAACGGTATTGTGAACCGTGATTTCTTTAATTCTTCGCACAACTTTAGGAAAACATACCGATACACATGTTTTTATTTCAAAATCACATTTATGCCTCATTTGGGAAGCGACCGGTTTAGCCAAAAAGCCAAAAAGTTACTAAAAAAATCAAAAAGCCAACAATCCATACCAAAAAGTCAAAGATTTCATTTTCTTTCTACTTTTTGCACATTTTTTCGTAAAAAATCAAAAGTCATCCCAAACATACTAGTTTTTTTTACACCACATTTTAGCTAAAAAGTCAAAAAGTTACTAAAAAAGCTTGTTCCCAAGCGAGGCCTTAGTGAGGTTCAAAATGATTTTTAGTATTTTTGTTTAGTATTAAAATATGATCCAATAGATATACTAATTTTTATATTAGTTATAAGTCGCTATGGATAATTTTCTTACTGTTGGATTTATTTAATTTTCTTTGCTTTACTAATATACTTATGGATAACTTCCAATTTGTTAAGAAAAAACATGAAGTATGTTTAATATTAAAATAATAATCTCATAAACGTGAGTTCAAAATACAAACGTAATAATGTAAAAATACATAATATGACATCTGAATTTTGCTCAATAAATTTAACATAGGAGAAATAGATATAAGTTAGGCCAAGTTTGGCAACCCAAAATAAGTACACACTTTTTATCTTTTTATCTTTTTTCCATCACATCATCTCTCTACTTTTCTGCACATCTTTTCGTAAAAAGACAAAAAGTGCACTTATTTAGGTCATCCCAAACAACCCCTAAGAATATTCAAATATAATTAAGTAAAAAACTCAAGTAAAAGTCTTAACTATATATGTTTTGAACGTTCAATCTTTTAGTTCTACAAAATTTCATTATTATTTAATTAGAAAATAAAAAGAGAAAATAGCATTATATACAAAATTTATTAAAAAAAATAAAAATTGAAAAATAGAGGTGTAGCGGTTGTAACGGTGCTGTAGTGGCAATGTAACGGCTGTTATGGCCTTTATATAACGGTTGTGGCCGTTGCGGTTGTGAATTTCTATCACACCGCTATAGTAGTTGTAATGGGTGGCGATAACCACCACAACCGTTACGTAATAAAGTTACACTTTTTAAAACCTTGCTAGGAATTTATCCATGTTTCATAAAGGTCAGATGAATTTGTTAATTAGCTGAATACTATTGAGAGAGTTTGAATATTGTGAAGTTTCTAAAGATAAAAAGGTGAAATTGATGTGTATACGCCTCAAAGGAAGAGCTGCTGTTCAATGGGAACAATTGCAAGTTAGTGGACACAGGAGAGGCTAACTAAAGATTAGAGATTGGGACAGAATGAAGAAGAGGAAAGAAAAATTATTCTTTCAACTATATGCAAACTAGTGTAGAATATATGGAAGCCTTCTATCAACTTGTTGCAAGAGTATTTAAGAGTGAAGATCAAATGGTTGTAAGGTATATAATTGAGTTAAGACCTTCAATTCAAGATTTCCTCAACCTACCAACTTCATGGAGTGTTTTGGAGGCTTATAACATGGCTTTGTTGGTTGGAAAAAAATACCAGACTGGTGTAATTCAAGGGTTGGACAACAATTTCTAGGCAGTTCCAGAGTTGGACAACAGTTTCCAAGCTATTTTGGAAAAAGTGGAGCTACAGAGTAGATCTGATAAGGCATATGTTCCAGCTTGAAATCAGCCTAATACCAGCACTATAGGAGCTAAAAACCAGTCCCAAGAGGAAGGTTTTAAGTGCTTCAGGTGTGGGGAACTGGGTAATTGGAGGTGATTTTGGAGAAGAAGATGGTCTAGCTCTTATGATAAAGAAAACTTTTCTCATACTTAAGCATGACAATGAAGAATATTGGTTGAGAACCAATATCTTCTACACTACTGCAACATAGGAGGAAGTTTGTGATTTGATCATTGGCGGTGGTAGTTATGAGAATGTAGTCTCATAAGAAGTGGTTGACAAACCTCAAGTAGCACCAGTAGCACTAGTCTTGGTTGAAATGCCATGACTTGGCAATGGCATAGTAGCACCAATTTTTGTTGAAACGCTCACCTCAGCCACACTAACTACTTATACTAAAAAGGTGGCTGATAAATTCAACTGTTTACCCTTCTTTTCCATTATATGACATGTGGAAAATGATTTCTTACTATTTTGATATATGTAAAATTTGAACATATTTGCAATGTGAAAAGGGAAGAAAACATACATAAATAAAAATGCATATTTATTTGTTGTCTTGTTCCTGCCGTGCCATTTGTGTGTGTGTTGGGGGGGGGGGGATTATGTGTTAATGTGGCTATATTGTTTTTTATGTGTCCCGTGTCTATATCCACACTAGTTTGGTCCAAGAGTTTCTTATGGTCTTGTTCTATGTAAACGGATAATGCATTGCATTCTGTTAGCAACTTGTGATTTGTTGACTGCTAAAAGAGGTGTCTGATACATTGGCAATGCTCTCAATTGTTTCCTGTTCTTTTCTATTATATGAAATCTGGAAACTGATTTCTTACTATTTTGATATAATAAAATTTAAATATAACTGCAATGTGAAAAGTGAAGAAAAAAAAAGATTATTTTCACATATATAAAATGTATATTTATGAATTGTTCCTGTTGTGTCATGTCCTTTTTTTTTTGTGTGTGAAAAATTATGTGTTAGTGTGACTATATTGTTTTGTATGTGTCCTATGTTTGTATCCATGCTTGTTTGGTCGTAGTGTTTCTTATGGCCTTGTTCTATGTAAATGGATAATGCGTTGCATACTGTTAGTGACTTGTTGAATGCTGATGGCGGGTACCTTTTCAGAGACTGGGAGTGCCATCTTGCAGCCGCAACTTCTTTGGAAACCGACAGTTCTAATTTTCATACGACAGACAGCAATACAAATGGATCTTTCTTAAAAAATGAGACCTTTTATCTTTCTCCACTGTTAAATGGTGCGGTTGCTGACAGTCCTCGTGATTCTGTTGCTGGGAGAGATGGAGGAGATGCATGCAGTATTTCAAGAATGGAAGATTTGGTAGTTCGGATGGATCTTACAGATGACTTATTACATATGGTATACTTTGCTTTTGTGTTTTAGGATATTACTATTTGCTACTTGCTTCTAGGTCATGGCTCATACTGACTCATATTATCTTATTGGCTGTCAGGTTTTCTCTTTCTTGAAGCACATTGATCTTTGTATGGCAGCCATGGTCTGCAGGCAGTGGCGGGCAGCAAGTGTTCATGAAGATTTCTGGAGATTTTTGAACTTTGAGAATCGGAACATATCTGTGCAACAATGTGAGTATGGTGTGACGTGTATTTAATCCTCAACTACTGTCCTATTTACTTACCATTTGTAACATTTTATTAGCGGCAAAGTTTGAGATTGTAATGTGCTGTGCCTTGGGAAAACTATTATCAGTTATTCTTACTTCTGATATTTTCCTCTCCCCGCCTTGCCCATAAGCTAAGTTTGTAAAGTTCTTCCGTCCCTTCTCACTTTATTGGGACTCAAACCGTGTTGCACCCAAAATGATGTCAGGGGGGTGCTACTTGAGCTGGTTAGCACGTGGTTTATAGGAGACCTTATCCAGAATATTGAAAGTGTCCCAATATTACCAGTTGATATCAATCTTGAAAATGGTTACAGTAGAAGTTTATAATGGGTATAGGTTAATGGGTTTCAATTCAAGTTTATAATGTGACCCATAATTGGTTACTGTCTCTCCAGGATTTGTGAAGAATCCTTAAGAAATTTCAATTTAACCCATGATTTTCACTTTCTGTGATAAGTGTGTCAATTTTTTTACAGAAAAGAGTGGGATAAGTAATTTTGAGGAGCAGTGGACTAATCGAACTAGGACCCTCAATTTTTATTTTTAATTTGTTTTAAATATTTATATTATCAAATTATTTAGCATATAAATTACTTTTAAGCACTTTATTGTTGCATGTGAGGGAAACTGTTATGTTACTAGAAACAATACGAATCTGCATATTCTGTGTAAAACGATGTTGATAGTTAACATTCCAGGATATTGATGCCTTACATGTGGGCATTCCTTGTGAGATCCTGAGTTGCCACAAATATTTTTCACCTATTAGGGATTCATTTGTCTAAGCGTTACAGGCATCCCCAATTGTTAATGCCTAAACTAATATTGTCCTGGATAGTAGACCTTATCTTAGAAAGACTTCCCTTCAGGGTTGATCTGCCACTTGCACTCTGGTGCTTACTGCTTGCTTCTGTCTGGAGCAGGCCTGAGGGTTCCACTGGGGCTAGGGTTTACCCACTGATTGGCCTTTTGTGGGTTTGATGAACTAGTGGAGAGATGTCCAAATGTGTTCTATGTTACATGGACTTGGATACGAGTGTCGGGTGCGGGTGTATATCCAAGCGTCAGACCTTCATAAATTTAAATCTTAGGATCTTGGGATACGGGGACACGTCATATGTACATATATATTGCATATTATATAATATTCTCAGATGAGATGTTTTAAATTTTGTAGAAATATATTAGAAATTAAATACGATTCAGAAAAAATATGAAATTTCTATATCTAATTCATGTGGGAGCCTAAAAATATTGCTTTACTAACAAAAATGAATTTCTTCTTCTTCATGTATTGTCACAAATTAAAGGATCTGAGTGTTTAAATTGGGTACGAGCGTCGGACACATATCCCACACCCTTACCAATGTCATATCCGGTGGACACGGGTATTGTGGGGGAAATAGAAGAGTCCGTGTAACACAGAATGTGTTAAAGACTGGTGGCTAGATTAGGGGCTAGTCCAGGTCACCTCTGTCAGTGGCCTTGCTCATAGTCTTTGAGCTGGTTCATGCATTTGCAACAATGGGGCTCAATGGTTAATACTATCTCCTTGAAATGTGCCATAACCACACTTGATTTGATTCATTCATCTAATTATGGGTAAGTCAATGATGACATCGGCCAAACATTTAGGCTAAGAAGCACAGACACTTCATGTTAGACACGGACACTCATCAAACACTTCCAAAAGTGTCATTATCCGTTATTATTTTAAAACCTGGATACACTTAGAACACTTGGGGACACACGTGTCTATTGCTTAGGCACATATGAAGCACATTGTAAGTTTGAACAAAATAACTTGGAGGATACAAGTTATGAAAGAAAATACTATAGATTTATACCTATTAATCCCCTCGTTTAAATTTTAGAATTTACTGTTATATAGCATTTGGTTTATTATCGTTGAATGAAATATTCATATATATGACATAATCTTAAGATGCATGGACACACAAATGAACACGGGACAAAATGATTTTGAAAAAAATTAGGATATGGACACGGTGGTGATACGACAAAAAATATTTTTACATATTTTATTTGATATGTATATGGATATAAATTTAGGATGCAGAGATATAAGAGGCATCAATGTATATGTGAGTGTAGTTTTTGTTTTCTTGCACTCTTCCTCTTTGTTTTCATATATTTTTTCTTAGAACCCAAATCAACTTTTTGAAATTATAAACAAAACCCACAAAGGTGTTTCGAGGCATGTCCAATCACATGACACACTTATTGTGAAGTATCCACAACTTGTCTTGCAAAAAATAATAATTGAAAAATTGGGCATGGCCTAGTCGACATGTGGACGTGTGTCTATGGTGTGTTGGTGTCCAATACGTGTTGGACATGAACATGGATACTTGGACTATCCGTGCTTTCTAGCATATAGTACTATATGTTTAGTGCATAACGTTCACGTGTCATATCCTTTATTTTTTGAAAATTTTCATGTTGGTGTCTCTGTGCTTCTTAGCATGCAGGCTTAGCAATGAAGGATGTAAGCTAGAAGCACAAGTTGGAAGCAAAAGTGTCTTGTTATATATGGAAGTCCTCCTTAGACAATTTTTTTTATTTATAGGTCTCCTTGTTGCCCCTCTCTCTCCCTTCCTTCCCTTGCTCCGTTTTTGGCGTTGCCGATTGAGTTTTTCCTTAAATGTGTACATCTCCTTTATACAAACAACCTTGATTAATGTTACAAAAAAAGGCTAACATTTGTGATTTACGTTATGGAATGCATGTTCTAAGTGACATTGATGACAATTTTAATTAGGTCTAAATGAAACTGCTTAAGCCTTAACAAGTCTTGTAGACCCTAGCTCACCTTAAAAGCTTTTAAGGTTTACTAAAAGGAAAAGTTGCCCTAATATTCTATACTTGGGCTTGAGCATCATTATGTGTTGTGCAATTGCTTGTGTGGGGTGACTACTTTGTGGGCACTTAAAGTAATGTTGTACCTTGAGCACTATTTTATACTTGGTTTTGTACAATGCAACGTATCTACATAATGTTCCAAAGGTATTATGTTTTAAATGCTCATTTCATTCATATGCTATGAAAATCCATGGATGCTTACTTGTTTGGAAATATGTTTCGAATCTATATAGATATCATCTCTTGTGCTTGGGCCTCAAGTTGGCAATATTGAAACTTAAGCACTTGCTATGATGGCTATGGTACCATTGGGATTACACATGTTTTATATTTCTATAATTCTGCTAAATGAAAGCAAAGTATTAAATAAATTTCTTAGATTTCCAAAAGCACCTTCCACTTGGTATAGGTCAGCCTTGGTAGCTTGGGCTATCGGCTGGTCAAGCCTTAATCCATCTAAGGTGGATTTGGGTCATGACAATTTCAAATTTTAAGTCTACAAATGTTTCCACTTTTATTGGGAAAGTAGAATCCATGTGGAATATTCATATGTACCTCGTCTTTTGAGTTATTATGAAGAAATTATATTTTTTACATCAAGCTATCGAAGAGACCAATCTAGCTGCAAACAAAATGACTAATGGGATTCATTTTTATTACCGGTGCAAATGTCTCTTAATAATCAATTCCATAGGTTATGGTCAATCCTTTGGCCACCAACTTAGCCTTGTATCTCTCAGCAGAACCATCTGCCTTATGTTTCATAGTGACCATCCACTTACATCCAACTGGGTTCTTCCCTTTTGGTAATTCAACCAACTCTAAAATATTCTTCTTCTTTAGAACATGCATTTCTTCACGCACTGCCTTCTTTCACTTGGGATCCTATAATGTTTCGTGGACATTTTGTGGATCATATATACAAAGATACATTAGAAGTTGAGAGATGATGCAAGGAAACAAATTAGAAATAGGATATTGAGTACACAATCTCACACCTTTATGAAGATCTATAGGAATATGAAGATTATAATCAAAATTAGGACCGAGGTCGAAATCAAAGAGTTCACAACTATGAACAAAACTAGAAGTTCGTTTGGAATTAGCTATTTTAGTTGGCTTATTGATTTTTTACGAAAAGATGTGCAGAAAAACAAGGAGAATGACGTGACAACTTGTAATGATTTTTTGGCTTTTTTCTTTACTTGCCAAACGTGGCCTAGGATTACCTGAATTCTACGTTACACGGACTCTTTGTTTTTTGAGAGCTACATATGTCAACATGACACGACACGACATAGGTACGGGTGCAGAATACGACCGGGATACGACTAAATACAAACGGATACGACTGCTTTTTGTGGTTTGAATAGGAGGGTCAGAGAGAGAGAAACAGAGAGAAAGGGGGGGTTGGCCCAACTTTGCGAAGCAAGATCGAAATGCGAACCCTAGTTGCGAACTCGACCCAATCAAAGGAGAGTTGAAACCTAACTTCACGAAGTCGATTCCACCCAGAAAACGATCCTACCTTAGTTGCACGAAGCGGGAGCGGGAGCGGGAGCGGGAGCAAGGGCTGGAGCGGGAGCGAGGAAGTGTGAGCCGATAGAAGCTTCTTAGGTTGGGAGCACCTCGGGGAGCGGTAATATATATATATATATTTTTTAATACACATTAGAATTTTTTTTATAAATATTTTTATTTTAATACACATTAATTATTTTATATATATATATATATATATTATATTTATATGTGTTAATGTTTTTTTTATGCATATATATTATAAAGATTATATATATTAATATTTTTATTTTTTTTATTAATGTTTTTTTATTATATATTTATATGTATATTTATGATATATATTAAATAATAATGTGTTGATTTATTTTTTTTTTTTAAATATATATGTATTTATATAAAGATTATATATGTTTCATCTTTTATATATATATATATATATATTACTTATATTAGATACATATCGTGACAGAAGGCCAGAAAGAGAGAGAGTGTGAGTGAGACAAAGACAGAAGGCAAAGACGAAGGCAGAGGAGATGACGATCAGCAATGACACAA